TCCCTCTGACCCTCCTCCCTCTCATGCTCTCTGTCTCTCATTCTCTCTCAAATAAATAAATAAAATCTTTAAAAAAATAAAATAAAATAAAATAAAATAAAATACTACCTTTCCCATAACTGGAACTAAAATAGGCCAATTAATCTTATCTTAACTCAAACCCTTTTTTTCAAGGATGCTGAGTACTCACACCACTGGGGAAAGATGAGAAGATCACCTTGCAAAGTCCATAGGCATGCAACAACATACCTTTCTCCTTCACTTCTTGAATTTTCCAACTTTGAAAATGACAAACAACAACACTAAGCCTAAAGCTAGACAGATCTCAGTTAAATTCCCATCTCTTCTCTTAGCCTTAGCTTCCCCTTGTTACAGATGGGGATAATATGTACCTTGTAAGAATTAAATGCAATAATCTATGTAAGTCACCCAACACAGTTCATGGCATACTGCAAAGGCTCAAAAGAGGGTACTGTAATTATTATATTCTGCCATAAGAGTTTCATACCAGCCATATGGTCAAGAGCCAAGCCCTTGAGTCTGCATTTGTTTGATCCATAGATCACTGACACAACCCTTTACATGTGCATCCACCCTGGACCGAGTAAAACATACTCCCAAAACAGAGGTAAAGAACTCTATTTTGATGAGGTACCAGTGATCCATAATACAGAAAGCTGTATTAAGTGCAGAAGAATATAAGGTTGATCACAGACTCTGTTACTCACTAGCTATGTGTTCTGGGGCAAGCTATTTAACCTTGTTAAGTTTCAGTTTCCTTAACTTTAAATAAGACCATGGCCTACCTTTCAAGGCATTGTTCAGAGTGTTAAATGAAGTGTATTATAAAATGCTTCACAAAGTATCTAGCACAAGTAAACACTCTTATTATATGTGTGATACATTATTTTTTTATTATTACTACTATTAGTGAATATACCAAAGTATAAAACATTATCCCTTACACTAAGAGATCTAGCCCACAAAAATCTGGAGGAGACTCTTGTGGCCAACCAGTGGGTTTTCCCAAACCACAGTTTAAGAACCACTGGGTAGACCACCATGATGTAGAGGTTTTGTATCAAATAGGGTTTTCCCCCATAGCTCCATTTCCCTCACATCTGCCTCCTCCACTAACTTTAAAATATTATTTCAGCCTGAGGAAATGGTTATGGTAGGTGGTGTCACATGCTATCATGCTACAGAATACTGAGTTCATACTATCGATTAAAACAGTATTCATGAGGATTAAATAAAATAATCTATGTCACCAAAATCTTCAGCCTGATCAAAGTTCTTCCAGAGTTCCTGTTTATTAATGTTGACTTTCAACATTGTCCTTCTCATAACAAAGGACTTGCTAAAATTATTCAAGGAAATTTAGAGATACTCTGTAAAGAATAGTTGGAAAAAAAAGCAACAAGTAATACAGGTTCTAATATATATGCACAAGCAACATCTGAGTACAACTATCTCGGAGTAAGAGACAGCCCCTCTCAGCTGAAACACACACACACATCCCAACTTAAGGTTCAAGTTAACACTGTGTCTCAGCTCCGACACTGTAGGAGCAATTTATTCTAAGTTTTGAACTGCCAACGGATCAATTAATTCCTAAACTTTATGATTTGTCAGGCAGAAGTTTTATATATTTAGCCTTCCCTAAAAGATTACTTTACAGCTCATTTTAGGGAGCTGTCTACTCAAGACAAGGATTTGTTTTTTAAATATGATATTCTAGTCACATTGAGATTTACCATTAGCCTAATGATTCCATCAGTTCACATCTGCCTTAAAGGGGGAGGAGGGGACTCCCCAAAAGGCATATGTTTCTCCATTAATGAATTTTGGCACAGTAACTTTTATGTCTATCACCTGGGGGAGAGGATTACTTCACATTTGGGAAACTGAGTATAACTTTATGGGTGATACAGCACTGCCTAGCAAAGGCTAAACTTTTCGCCAAGGAGGAAATACTGAAGTAACCAAGACCTGCCAAGAACACGTGTGAAAGAGTTAATGAGAAATGCCTGTGCATGTCTTTCCTGGTTCAAGGAAAAGAGCTAAATAATAAAACTGAACTAATTAGAACACATGAATGATATCAAACATCTCCAATGTTTCTCATCAAGTTTACAGAGTTTTACTGGTCTGGTGAAGTTACACTCACATCCAAAATGGTCCAGGAGCATAATATGCTCTATAAAACCCACTTAACTATTGCTTAGAATCATATTTGAGTCATTTTTATGAAAAAAGTTATGGGAAATTTACAGAGGAAACTGAGACTGTGCCTTCTCCAGTTCCCTCGAGATGGCTCAAAATGTAAAACTGCTGACCTGAAAAACTGTGCCTTGGATTCTGGAAAATTTATCAAATCAGAATAAAAAGCTGACTTTGGATTCAGGTTTTAATTAACTGGCAACCTTGCAGACGTATTTCACGTTTTAGAAAAGTTAGATCATTTTTTTACAAACAGGCATTATCTATTCTGAAGAATGGCTGCAGATTATACACTGATTATGACACATTTGCTTCAAGAGTTCAACTTAAAAAAAATTACTAGCTCCATGTTGCTAGATCAAAAAACACTCTAAGGCAACATAAAAAGTTGAGAACAAGACACAAAGAGCCCATAAAACAGATAAATCATAAAGTTACCTCTATATCCTGGATAATCTTTGGGTATAATGACCTATAAAATGAATTGGGAGGGCCATCTGTAGGTCTGTTCTTAAACAGGTACTGATCCCTGGCAAATAAAAACAAACAAATGTTACATTTTTGCACATAAAAGGGTGAATTGTATTTAAACATGGTGCTTACAAAGATTCTGTACCTTTCAACTCAGTTAAAAGCAGGGTTTCTGACCGTTAAATTCACACATTAGACACAAGTGTACTTTAATTTCCAGCTCTGTATCATAATCCTGGCCTTTTATTTTCTGAACACCCAACACCTATTAATATAGCCTTTCATTCTATAATTTAATAAAAAATGTTAATGAAGCTTACTTGGTACACATCAAACTTCTTCCCATGAAGAAAATACAGCCCTAACCCTTACTCACCCTGCAACCCGTACTTCCATCTGTAACACTCTCTCTGTGCTAAGTGGGCCAGGTTACATAGGTGTACAAGGCTCTAAAGTTGTATATAAGTTAATGGGTTATCTGAAAACTCCTGCCCACTGTGCCTTCCACATCTTCAATCAGAAGCAATGACAAATAGCAAAATGGCATTATTTGACTTTCTTATATTTTCTTTTTTTCTTATCTTTTGGTAATAGTATCATCATTTAAGAATAATGTGAAAGGGGGCGCCTGGGTGGCTCAGATGGTTAAGCATCTGCCTTCGGCTCGGGTCATGATTCCAGAGTCCTGGGATTGAGCCCCAGATCGGGCTCCTGGCTCAGCAGAGAGCCTGGTTCTCCCTCTCCCTCTGCCTCTCCCCCTGCTCATGCTCTCTCTCTCTGTATCTCTGTGTCTCAAATGAATAAATAAAATCTTAAAAAAAAAAAAGAAGAATGTGAAAGGAAAACCATAAATACGTAGATTTTAAAAGGCAAATCACTCATTCAAACTATATAATACTTCCTAGCGGTTAATCCTTATAAAGGAAATATGCATTGCAAAAGAAATTATTCTAACAGCTTTAACTCCCACCCCACCCCGCCACCACTCCAGACCACTCCTCTTTCCCATCTGTTGAAAATGGGCCAACACATTTGGCAAGTATAACTGCTTATTTAAGCAGTCAAACTGACCCTATGTACCAAGAAACTTTTTTCAAGGCAACAAACAACCCAAGAACTTACCACCCTCTTCTTTCTGAAAGCCCCTTCCATAGAGGGTCAGTGCGCACCATTCGTTCAATCAGCTTCTTCCAAAGCATTCCTTCAGAGATCACTCGCTGCCATTCTTTACATACCAGCTCTGCTGCACACAGAGACCTGGCGTCCAGGTAAGAAAGAATGTTTTCTGCTATGTGGTCTAAGCCTTGCTCTACAAAATAGAAAAGGCAGTGAAGGAATGGGAAGGGAGATGGAAATGTACCAGTCACCATTTCTGTAAAGGGAAGAGGAATAAAGAAATCCTGAAACAGGTAACATACTTGAGTAGTATCAAAAGTTCTGCAGTTATACAAGTGCATGAGTACATAAACACATACGCTTCTTTTTGGCTCTGAGTTTTTAAGATAAAACAATTGCTGGCAGGGCGCCTGGCTGGCTTGGTCGGTAGTGCATGCAACTCTTGATCTCAGGGCCATTGAGTTCAAGCCCCAGGTTGGCTTTAAAGAAATATATATGCATACATATGTGTGCGTGTATATATGTATGTATATGTATACGTACGTATGTATGTATATACATAAATTTATGGCAACAGTTCCTGCGTGTAAAAGCCGATCCTGGACAGTTTTCTGTCAGATATTATGAAAAAAGACTTGTTTGCATTTTCTTTTACATAACTAACTCTTTTACAAAACCACTACAGGAGAATGATTCCTCAAATTTTACAGATGAGGCACAGAGAGGTAAAGTTCTCAAGGTTTCACAACTACAGAGTAGTAAAGCCTACATTGCAACTCTGATCTCTTGCTCCTAAGTTGGTGTTCTTTCCCCTCTGACCTACTGTCTCTCGTAACACATCATCCTCTTAACACATGACCTATGTGAATCCCTCGGAGCCAAGGAGACAAAAAAGGTGAAACACTGACACAGCTTAAAAAGCTTATGAAAAGTTAAGTGACAATCTAAGAGTTAAAGTCAGGTCTCCTTAGATGTATTTTTGTCAATCATTCTTCATCTCCTTCTTACGGAGGTAAAATCCTCAAAAGCAAGAACCATACATGCCTACAAATTCTTCAACCTTATGAGGCTTATCCCACGCAATGCAAGGGTCCTCCCAAAGACAACTAAGATTCAGAGTCTGCCTGACACTGCCATGGTGTCAACATAGTCAACATTGTGGCCACCTGCAAACTCCCACCCTGTGGTTCTAGTCAAGCCCTCCATAACTACAAAAAATAAAGCTCACCCCCAGGCCTACTGCAGTGGTGGGAATGCTAAACATATAGGCAGAAAATTTCAATTTCAAGTCTAGGTTCACCAATGTAGCAGTTCTTTGACATGAAATAAAAACTGAAATATAACTGGCCCTTGGTCTTTTACTGTTATAAAATGGTAATTACCAGTAACCACTGTCCTTTCTCACACCACCAGTTAAGAATCAAATGAAAGAATTTTATGGAAAGATTTTAAAGACAACAAAGCACCATACAAGATTACTATTTGCTCTCTTTTTCAAGATAAATAGAAGCCATATAGTGGCACTAACTTGGCAGGAAATAGGTAAGTCTTCAAAGTTTCAGAACTCAGTTTTCTCATCTATATAAGATGGGGAAATAATCTCTATTTTGAAAGTATCAAAATGAGATGATGCATTAAAATGCTTCACAAACTAATGCTGTCTTCAACTCTGAGAGTAACACTTTCTACTGTCGACTCTGGTTTACAAGCCTTTCATATACTAATTGTCCTACTCTGGTCTAGACCTAATACCCAAGCTCTGACCTGATCATGAAGACTACCCTAAAGCCACGACCTTTTCTTGTACATGTCATTATATTACAGTTGGTGCAAAGATTACATCACCTTTATCCAGTAGTCCTATCACAGTAGATTGCTAAATGGCAGTAAGTTAAAATAAATTTCTAAGCCTGTTCCCCAACAATATTTATTTTTAAAAATTCCCCCAGGTCTAAATTTGTATGGCTAATGAAGAGATGAAGGGCAGCTTCATGCAGGAATTTATAGTTATCCTTTGAGACTTGATCTGACCCTTCCATGTCAGCCTCTAGAATTCTGATTCTGTCCTCCAGAAGAGTGGGTATTCCACACCAAAATTCTGCGTGATGGTCAAATGCATTAAGTCTTTATCCCAAGTTCTTGGCAAACATGTTAAATGGGTCAGAACCAAGGACAGCACCCATGATTCTAGATATTTCTATCCAGGCTTCTGTGGGTCTATTCATGAAATACTCACACATACCAATACTGAGCCACTGGTTCTGTAACCATCTGGATGTACCACTGTTCAGCCTATATCTCTCTATTCAAATGTGTCTGAATATTTGGAGAAACTGCCCCATATAAAGACCCTACTACCTTTACCTTTTACATCATTCTTCTGACCCACTAATCTGATAACCTTATCCCCCTCCCCTACCCCGAAGTCAGGCGAATTTGGTATGGCTACACTTTGTATTCTCTTGCTGGTGCTTACTACGTAAAGTTGGTATCACATTTTTTGTTTACAAGTTGGCAAGTAGCTGCTTTGTGTCCCTTTTTTTAAACATATATAACCCAAGTTCATTACAGAAAAATTATAAAATCCATATAAGCAAAAAATTTTTAATCCCTAAATCCTCTCAGAGATAAGGGCTCCTAACATTCCGTATACATCCTTCTAGGCTTACACAACCCTACAGAGTCTTTTTGGCTGCAAATTATTTACCTTTGATAATCCATTTTAAAGGTATGCTAGAGTATAACATCAAATTTATCAGCCAACATCCCCCAAATACACCCACCTCTACTTCTCCAGTTCTTAAAACCAGGAAAAGTGCTCACCGATCATATCCCAGGGTGCTCTCATGCAAGGCTACCAAACACAACTGTACCCAGCAGCTCTGCTTCTTCTCAGTGTTCCACAATTCTGAAAATCACAACTACAGGTTCTGTCAATATCCTGGCCCACAATGTCTTTAGGTCTGCTTGTTTGTAGGAGCTTTGGTTTCCTTTTTGTGTACCTCCATGATCATGTGCCCCTTTCTTCCATCTTCATTTAAAATCCGGGAAATCCATGGATAATCACATACAGTCTTACTTGTAGCCCTCCACTGCTAGGACTAACAAATTAACAAGAATTTCAAATTTCAGAATCTCTCAGACCTCTATATTCATATTTTCTCCTAGTGTCTCTAGTCATGGGCTAATAGATTTAGCTCTTCTCTGAATTTTTCTAATTCTGGGTACTTACCTGACTATCTTCTAGTTTCTACACGTCCTATGAGAACACAGTCACCTTTCAAGATCTAGTTTATTTCCATATCATTAACCAAATCCTCCTAATTGGTCATAAACACACCCCTAAACCAATTCCCGTCGTGAGTCCCCTGCTCTCTGGGAGAGGAAATGAATAGGAGACAAGATTGCATCAGATAGTTGCTTTCTCAATAACTGCAATATCCCCATTGTCTGACTATGAACTGGGAAAGCAGCATCCAAATCTTCCACCTGCTTGGGTGGTCTAGGAGCTGGTTCTCAGAAGCCTGTGTGGTTGTAATTGAGTCACTTAGGGTAAGTGATTTTTAAAACAAATAAACAAAAACAACAAGCAACAAAAACAGATTCCCTGGACATTTTTTCTGGTCTACTGAATCAGAATCTTTAGATGGTGAGGACCAGGAATCTGTATTTTTAGGAAGTGCCACCAGATAATTCTGAACGGTTGGGAACTACTGCTTTATAGCCATGATACCCTTTTTAGTCCTCTTTGATTTTTTCCCCCTTCAATAGCTCACCATTAGACTATCACTGGGTTTCTGCATAAGGAAATCTCTAACACATATTTCCTCCTCTTTCAAAATGCCCTCACTCCAATTCAGTAACATCTCTATGACACCTATGAGATTCACTTTCCTCGGATAATACTTTAAATTCATACCATCATTCTAGGAGGCAGCATGTTTTAGTCTCTTGGTAAATGCACTGGCTGTAGAGTCAGATAACCTGGGTTGAAGCACATCAGTTTTCCCTTTTGGATCCCAGTTTTCCATAAAATAGGAATGATATTAAATGGCTGAAGTGGATGATCTGATATAATCTGCACAATAACCCTCTGAGACAGCTACTCTCAATATGCTCATTTTATGAACTACTTAGCCTTGTTAGGAAAATTAACAGGAAGAGGTTATTAAGGAGCCCGATACAGAACTGGTACTTGCTAAATGTCAGTCTCTGTTCTTCCCTCATACCCAAATCCCCTTAGCTGATATCATTGGTCAAAGAAGCTAAGCAATGTTGCTCTTCTTTGTTATTTTCTGCAGAGAAAATGTTGCACTCTAGCAAAGTGCTAAGCCCACTCACATTCCCTTCAATGTTTAGGGTACCGGAATCCCACAACCTCTATCTGAACACCTTAAAAGAATAGCTATCCCCCGAGGCCATGCAGACCATTTAACTTCCTTGTTTCAAGCCTATTCAGGACGAAGAAGTTAGTAAGGTGGTCCATTTGCTCCGGCTAAAAAGCGCTTTGAGGTGTTAAAACTAAGTATTTCTTGGGGCACCTGGATGGCTCAGTCGTTAAGCGTCTGCCTTCGGCTCAGGTCATGATCCCAGGATCCTGGGATCGAGCCCCACATCGGGCTCCCTGCTTGGCGGGAAGCCTGCTTCTCCCTCTCCCACTCCCCCTGTTTGTGTTCCTGCTCTCACTATCTCTCTGTCAAATAAATAAATAAAATCTTAAAAAAAAAAACAAAAAAAAAAACTAAGCATTTCTTAAGTACCAATATCTGGCTCTCACTGACTCTATCCTGCTGAGACTCCCCATCTCCCATCACCACCCCCCTTCCCAAGGCAACAAGAGGACACATTATGGTTTCAGAAAACGAGGCCAGAATACGGCATACACAATGCTGAGGACGTGCTTCTGTTGCTAATTATAGGCACCAGATGAAGGTCTGGAAAAATTTCAATAAATTAAAACAATTAAAAGGCACAAATTTCAAAGCTCAACATGTAAATAACACTATACCAAAATGAAACTCAACTGTAAAATGTCAGTTCAATGCCCTTGACTACAGCCAGTTTTAACACAGCTGCTTAGATCATACAATTATAGTACCTTTTATTATTTTAGAAACACATTTCGAAAAGCAGCTGCAAAGAAACTCCCTTCCCCACCCACTCCTGCTGTCCCTTCCTAGTCACAGATCTAGTTGTAAAATCTGAAGTTAGAAACCTTTTGAAAGAAAAAAACAATACAACTGCTGACAGCAACAGGACGTCAATGGATGTCTTTAGGAATATACTGACCTAAAGATTCAGACAGAATTGAAGTGAAATGACACTCAGGTCACAAAGTCCAACATGTTGTTGTACCAACAAAGTGGTGCAAACGCCTACCTATATGATGTCAAGATGAATCAATTCAGAAATTAGCGGGTGAATAATTAAAACTTCCTGGCAACAAATCTTATTAACCTCCGGAGAAGCAGGTGTTTCCTGCCTCTCCGGGCTTTTTTTTTTTTTCTTTCTCTTTTTTTTTTTTTAAGCTACCATCCTCAGAATACCCACCAGATGTCAGGCATATTACATACATTGTTCTTAATCTTCACAATATCCCATGAAGTATTATTATTATTCCCACACAAAAAAGGAAACCGAGGCTCCAAAAAGTGGGCTCATAGAACTATTAAGTGCAGGGGCTGGGATTCAAATTTAGGGGCTGTGTAAATCCAACACCCAAGCTCTTTCCACTCTGTCATGCTGGTCTTTGGCCCTGCATCCAGCCTAAAAAGCCTTAGCTACGCTCTGGTTCTTCCATGTCTCCCAAGACCTTTGATCTAGTCTGTCACATTTACAGTCCATAATGGTTTATCATCCTTACTTGGGGATAAGACAAATGAATAAACCATGGCCAGGAAGCTAAGTGTTTCAAAATTCTTAATTGCTCAGATACCTCACCAAAAGGATCTCCAATGCTTATCATCCTCTTTGAAGTACAATCTGCCTCTACTTCAAATGGTATAAATTTTCCCTTTAACAACAGTTCTCACAAACCACAAACTTAGCCTGCAGAAATTGACATTGCAGACTAAACATTTACCATGATTTTTAGAAAAGCATATCATAATTATCACTTTTTCCACTGAACCAAAAGGAGCCAGAGACCACAAACATTTTCCATTTTCCCTATACTGACAGGTATGATATTCACAGTAAGCATTTAAAAGTGAGAACTATAGACAATTTTTATAGAATTAATGGTTTCTACAATCAAAAGACGTCTTAAGTTGACAATTTCAACAGAGTAAAACTTCAAACTCAAGATCGTCTACAGTAAAAGTTAAACACCAAACTAGAATAGTGATTAGTAAGCTGCTCCACCCATTATTAAATTTAAGTATGAACATGCACATGGACCTGTTTCTTCCCTAATACTCTTAAGGCAGGGTCTTTGTTAAGGAACTAACGCCAATTTTAATCCAAGTCTACTAGACACGAACACAATCAACTAGGCCAGCTTGTCCCCAGCTATTAGATTCATACGTATGATATACACTGACATATGTATATATGTTCAGATCAAATCCTTTTAAAACAAATAGCATTTTAACAAAAATATTTCCATGTCCCAGCCAATGGTCCATTCATTTCATGTAATATTCAATACCACAAAATTCCACTTTAACAGAGATATGGACAATGCCTTAAAATTTGCTGTAATGAAAACTGAATTGTATGCAATTATACTAACCATATTTATATACATAACACATGTTCATCTGTTCTGTCTCTTCTCCAAGACCATACACTCCCCAAGAGAAGGGGTTGCCTCTGAACTACATTCTGCAAATCAAGAGAACTTCAACAGTGCCACCTCGTGGATATTCTGTAAATATAAGGTGAGTTTCTTGGCACTCTAAAATGTTTGAGAAGCAAATTACAGGCAAAAATAAAATAAAACCAAAACAGTAGAAAGCAAACAAAAAAACAACAGATTTGCCTGAGAAAAATGAAGCCATAACTTCACTTAGTTAAAAGCACTTATGAGGAACAATTACAATCATCCACTTTATAAAAATTGCCCTATCTTTTTCTTGATGTGAGATGCAACCTGAGTCCACAGAAAGACTTGGGTGCCAGGGGTTCTGAGTTCTGGCACTGCACAAACCAGAGATGCTGCACCAAAGGCTCACTCACCTTACTTAAACCCTCCTATAATTCCCTCTCCCCGACCTCTTCGCCCTCCCTCCCTCTCATACAATTAAAACCATATCTGTTTCTCTCTCTCTCTCTCATAAGTAAAAGTAATTATTACTGAACTGGGTTGTAAACATGTATTCTATACTTAGGACCAATTTAAGGAATTTTCCAGAATAATCCTAACTATAATGATTTTAGCCTTTGCACTAACTTTTGAACCAGCCCCCACCATCACCCGCATAATCAACACAATAACCAAGATGTATGATCTTTGTCATTTCATGCAATTTCTCTGATCGCTGGCTTCCCAGTCTATACAATGAAAAAGAGGATTAAGGATGGCTAAGATGCCTCTTAGCAATTAAATACTATACAATTCTAAAAAGAGAGGGTTCTTATTTTCTTTTCTAGAAATACTAATGAATGAAATAGGGCAAACAATACTACATTTAAGCATAAAAACAACAGGAGAGTAAAAATTTTCTAAGCTAACTCTCAAACATCCTTAAACACTCCCCATTGTACGAACACATTTGGGAAGAAAGATTAGAAATTCGAAGCTGCCCAGAGACCTGAGCCCCGGTCCTATCTGCTATGGAAATCCTTAGAATATGGAATCCTGATGCACTGTAAATCACAGACAGGCTAAAAGAGGAGCTTCTCTTTGAAGAGCTGTCCCGAAGCTCTGATAGGTTAGGGCTGGTGGCAATGGCACTGTTTTATCCCTGGCCAGTTGTAGGTCTACCCTGGCATGGCAGTTGTAACCTCTAGACTACACTGACCGTATTAAAAGAAAACATTCTGGCTACCATTCTCTTCAGAAGTGAAATCTATCTTACCTAGTCAAATTTATATTTAAAATTAAAAGAATAAGAGGAAGAGGAAGAGGAGGAGTGATAAAGAGAGAGAAAAGAGAGAATTAATGAGTGATCAAAAATCAAAGGGGGGATAGAACAGGGAGGGCACAGAGGATTTTTAGAGCACTGAAACCATTCTATAGGATACTATAACGATACATACATGTCATTATATATTTGCCAAAACCCACAGAATGTACAACACCAAGAGTGAACCCTAACGTAAAGTATGGACTTTCAGTGATAATGATGTATCAATGTAGACCTATGTGTTATATAACAAATGAGCCACTCTGGATGGGATGGTGATGGGGAGTGGGGTGAAGATATGGAAAATATGGGAATTCTCTATATATTCTATTTTACTATAAACCTAAAACTATTCTAAAAAATAGTCTTTTTTTTTTTTTTAATCAAAGTAAACTTAACCAGAGGAGTATGTGGGTGTGAGGGAGACAGGGAAAGAGAGAGAGGGAGAGAGAGAGATAATGAGGGAGAAGATGCAGAAATAAGTTTCAAAAAATGTAATAAAGACATGCTATCAGTTTTTCCAATATATTTTTGCCATTCCCTATCCTAAATGTCACTTCAGGTACAAAGGAACATCCTAAACTTTGGGACACTTCTTAAAACACAAACACTGTAGGAAAAATTGTCTCATATTTTTAAAAATTACTTATAAAGGCAAAATACAGATTATATATAGACTACATCAAAACTATCAGCATAGCATTAACTCATTAAATTAAATGAAACAATAATATGACCAAAGACCAACACCATTAATCGCAGAAACGGCCTACATTTCCTATATAGATGCTACATTATAACTCCTTTTCAAGTGCCATATATTAAAATACAATATGGGTTCCAAAGAAACTCACACTGTAGTCACACTGTACTCACTCATGCATTTCACAAATATCTACTCAGCTCCACCTAGGCCCTTGGGCTGGACATTCTTCCACTGGTCAGCTTTTTAAAAGACAGGTACAGTTACCTGGTAAAGCAGTAATAAAGTCCCGCTGCAACATGGGCTTCAGGTAAGAGTTAATATGTCCATGCTGATAATGACACATTCGTGAAATAAGGTGTTCCACAAATTCCACTTGATCTGATTCAGACCACTGGTCAAAATATTTAATACACAAGTCTTTTTCTTTTTGATAGTTTCCTTCTGATGGCCTCTTTCTGGAGACGATCACAGATGATGTTCCATTACTTATCTATTTTAGAAAAATAAAGAAAAAATTAATTAGTTTGATAAGGAAAAGAAATCTAATTAGTATTTCATTGGAAACATTTTTTCACCCTGTGCATTTAATCTTAAAATGCCAGTTATACCTTAAAGTCAAACTCATTCCTTCATTAACTCATTCATGAAGTAATTTAAAATGTCTTCAGGGCCTGTGTTCTCAAATTAGTCTCTAAAGTAAGTGTCAAATTTACAGCTATTTATAAAGCTAAATGGCATCTCAAGTCATCATTCTCCAAAGCTTATTCTAAAACCATGGGGCTATTAGATAACCATCTTAGAGAACTTGCTCAACTTGGCCAAGTAGCAATGATTGTTCTACTTCCCCAAAGACCAAAGTCAATGCTATATTCCTCTATGCCAATGGTTCTCAGACCTGTGTGCATCACAGTAACAAGAGGGCTTCCTAACTCACAGATTGCCCGGCTCCACCACAGATGTCCTCATTCTATTGGTCTGGAATGCAGCCTGAGAATTTGCATTGCTAACAAGTTCCCAGGTGGTGTTGACACTGCTGGTCCACAGAACACACTTTGAAAACCACTGGTCTATCTAATGAAGAAACCTGAAGGCAATTCAATCTAAAAACTGAATCCATCTCCAAATTGTATCCAGGGTTACTAGACTGCTGGCAAAAAAGTTTAGACTTTCACTCCCTTTTTTTGATCACCTACTCCTAAAGTCACCCAAGGTAAACCACATATTCCTGAAATGATCCTTATCCTATAGAGTTGGCCTATGATATCCCACAGACTCCTATACTAACTGTGCATTTCTCATCAAATCTACATGGTCCTTGCACAAAACCAGTATATTGTTCTACAAATGAAAACTACATACACCGCATCTGACAACAGCAACAGAAAAAAAAACAAACAGGAATGCCTAGACTGAAGCCACAACTGTCACTGATGCTATAAGGCTCAATAACATCCGTTTAAAAACAAAATTACCTCCATGCTTTTATCAAACATTTGCCAAGCTATCTGCCCATCACTCCTTTGATAGCCCCTTCATGTGTAATACCAAAAAGACTAGCATAGAAGAGAATTTTGGTAACTGAAGAGTTATATTACAAACAGGCATTAATTCCATTAGGAGCTTATCTCAGAAGTTCCACACAGAAAGAACCAACAGCTTTGTTATCACTATGTCCCCTAAATTAGAATGGACTGAATCCATCCCATAAATATCCATAGAAGTCTGGCTTTCCTTATTAAAATCTTATGTATCATACCTGCCTGAAGCAAGATTTATGTCCACATTTAGAGGTATAGTCAGAAGGCTTTCGGCTCCCACCCCATTTATCTTACCACCTCCTTCTCTAGGAATGTTTTTTCCCTTGTCATTTGGGTGAGGAAAAGCTCAACGACATGGAGTACCATTTTTTTTTCCCTTGTCATTTGGGTGAAGGAGAGCTCACTGGCACTGGGTACCACCAGAGGGCAGCATTGAACAGAAATTTTTGATGCTGCTTATAGTAAGACCTCTAACAGACCTTAAAAATCAACATTCAAAAGTCAGAAAAAAATGAAAATTCTTCACTGTGATGAATATCTGCTGGCATAAGGAGCATCTTTGCTACTTTGCTACTTTTAAGTATAAGGGTGTTCACCATAATGTTGTAACAGAAAAATTAGAAATAACTGCCCAACTACAGGCAACTGGCTAAAGCAAATAATAATGCATCTACATAGAGTACTATAATGGAGCCATTAAAATTAGGTTTATAGGGCACCTGAGTGGCTCAGTTGGTTAAGCGACTGCCTTCGGCTCAGGTCATGATCCTGGAGTCCCGGGATC